GTCACTAATTGCAGTAGTGACCTAGCTTAGCCTAAACTACAAAGAATCAAAACATTGCAGGGCATTGTAGTCCTTCTTTAGTTGACTAGGCTGGAAAGATTTTATCTGCTAACGAAAGAACCCATTGCCTTATCTCTGTTGGGCCCCTCTAGGATGCAGCAAGTAGTGCAGGGGCATTCAGTTGCAGGTTCAACATGTAGTTTTTTAAAACCCTTGAATTTTCTTAATAGCCAGCAAAGACTTTCAGTTATGGTTCTTGAGCCATAACCTTCAATAAAAAGGTTCATACTGCAGGAAACTTGCCTAATTCTTTCTCCTTTTTGACTCCCGTTATGGATCGCATTTTTCTCCTTGGAATTTTCCAAAAGTACTGCGTCGGGGATTTAAAAACGGGTTTAATAATTTCTTTTTTCCTTTCTTGTGAGAAGTCCCAAAGGGAAGTATTGCAAAAGAAGCGTGACACGCGTGGCTATCAAGGCAGTTTTATAGTGTTCGCGGGTAGGACGGGTACAAAGTACCACTAAAGATAATGAAGCAATTCTATTTTAATCAACTTTTTTTGAACTGTTTTCATTTCTTTCCATCCTTAAAAGGCCCATTACATGTAATTTTAGCGTGTGTGCAGGTTTTGCATGGAATGACGCTACAATCTCGAGAGCACATCTCGAATAACTACATTCAAAATGATGATCATAAAATCGCAATTTTCGGCGAGAAGTGAGTTTTATTTCGCGTGTTTAGAAGCAAAGGTAAATGGATGGAACCTGCCGATTTCAGACAAGATAACAACACACTTAAGTGAAAACACAAAAGGCGGTATAGAATCAGGCCGGTACGGCGGTCTGTGACGGAGTTCTCTTCAAAGATGCGAGTATTTCCCGGGAAAAAATGAAGTCGTTTTCGAGGAATGAAGGGCATCAACACCCATCAGGTAACATTAATGGTTGTATCAGAATTTTAAATCTGCTATAGGAAAGATGTTCTTTGTATTATACGTAGCAGATTAGGAGCTTAGCTGTTTACAATTATTGACCTCGGGTCGATAAATGTCTCACGCGACTTCAAAAATACCCTAACAAAAAAAATACAGAAAAAAATCTAAATCACCCGCATCTGATGCCCGTGTAAATTTAAAAATTGGAACCATCATCGAAATGCTTTTCCTGAACGTTAATATGACAGTAGAGGCTCTATTTCTCCTTTATTTGCAAGAGAAATTTGGTGCGTTTTTCTCTTATAATCTTCACTTGGCAATCCGTGTTCCACACGTGTGACGTAAGATCACATGACTAACCTGAAATCCGAATGTTTTCAAAATGGCGGCAAAAATCGAGTTTTCGAAAAATTATAAAAAAATAAGTTTCGCAGATGTATCCGAAATTTCACCCAAGAGAGACATTACCTGCCATTAGGAAACCATAGAGAACTTAAAAAACAGGGGTAATTTTCCCCGAGAGTTGCCCTTTAAAGCTTTCGCGTCATCGATCGACCGATCCATCTCCTTCTGGCGTAAAGCAATGAAACGCAGGTGTTTGGCATCTGACTGCCAGAAAGGACATATTTATGTACTAATCAACTTGATATATTCCATAAACGCATGGCTACTGTCATCCTCGGAGACCCAGGGGCAGTCAGTCAGGCCAGGCTGTGTATAAAAGTGGGACGGGGACAAGCTAGGGGACGGGGACATCGGGACGCGTGTGTGGGGACTTGGGACTTGGGACTTGGGACTTGGGACTTGGGACTTGGGGAAGCGAGACGAGGGAGTTGGGGAAGCGAGACGAGGGACTTGAGGACATCAAGTATGGAACGCGGGGACGTGTGAAACGGGGACGCGGGGACGTCAAATACAGGAACGCAGGGGACACAAATTATTATCGCAAAAGTCGGAGGTAAATGCGATATCTCTCTCTTCATGAAAATGTGTTATTTATGGTCAACATTAGATTCCATCTTCCAAAACCACATTGGACACCTTATGATGTTTACACAAAATATTTCGTTATAATAGGAGTAAGCGCACTTAAACTATCGTGATTAGGGTTAGGGTTGATTTCCACTGACGCGTATTTTTTCCATGCCTACGTGCGTAAAATTTACGTTCGCAAATAAAATAGAGGCAATGTATGAAAGATCGCACGTAAGCGTAAAAGTAGAATCTCGCTCAACTTCACGTTTAATCTCAACAATTTATATAGTCGTCGTGTACGAACTCACGCAAAGAACTCAAGAGATGCTTTTCGCCGATTGGGCACAATAATACAAAGCATTTTTTGTGCCCAATCAGGAGCCAGAAATCGCTTGACCGTTTGGAAATAGTCCGGTGAGAGTCGGTACCCAGGGGCTTTTCCGCCTGTGCTTGAAAACTTTCGTCACGCCTTTTAACCCGACACGACTGACTGCCCCTGGGTCTCCGAGGATGGGCTACTGTTTGAGGAGGCGAGGAAAGTGTCCGTATTGGCCACGCGAGTCAGAAGTGTCGTTTCATTTCCTGATCACTTCGAAATCCAAGCTTCAAAGAAGGAAAGTCAAGAAACCCAAGAGGCAAGTGACAAGTCCAAGCACAGAAGTCGAGAGAAGTCAATATCTGGAGTTACACTACCAGAGTCTCAAGAAGCTGAGAAGTTTGCAGAACAAAACTTCGGTGAGGAACTTTAAATTCCCTGCGACTTAAATGTAATGTAATTAATGGGGAGCAAGGGTGGCGTAGTGGTGAGAGCACTCGCCTCCCACCAATGTGACCCGGGCTTAAACCCCGGCGTCGACGCCATATGTGGGTTGAGTTTGTTGTTGGTTCTCTCCTTTGCTCCGAGAGGTTTTTCTCCTGGTACTACGGTTTTTCCCTCTCCTCAAAAACCAACACTTCAAAATTCGAATTCGATCTGGAACGCACGGACACGTTTAAACGAGTTCATAAGAACTCCTAAGTACTTCGAGGGTAAACAAATTACAATTTGCAATTTTTACAACCGACGGAGACAAACAAAAAAAAAAGAACACAAAAAACCAAGCTTCAAAAAGAAACCAAGCGTTAAGAAAGACCAGTTCGCTGTACAAACTGGATCTGCCTGTGGACTATGATGGTGTAATTCGTGCTGGTGATCGTATCAGTAGAGAAAATACGCCGGGTGATCTGAAGCATCCAGTCATAATTCCGCGAAAGGGACACTGGACATGAACTGTTGATTCAACATCACCATCTGAAAGTGGACCTCATGGTCAAGGCATAAAGCATAAAGAGCTTCGGCAAAGTAGCTATTGGTTGATCAAAGGTTCATCAGAAGTAGCGAAGGTCCTATCGAGATGTGCGACATGTAGACTACGTACTGCATAAGCCCACAGAGCAGCAGAAGATGGCCTGCCTTCCCGAAGACCAACTTGAACCAGCTCCTCCTTTCTCGTTTTGTAACATTATTTCAGATCGTTCATTGTCAAAGAAAAAAGAAGTGAAGTTAAAAGCTATGGAGTCTTGTTCACGTGTAAGGAGTCAAGAAGTTGTCATCTGAGGACTGCCAATTCACTGGATAGACTGTACAATGTAACTATAAGAGTTCCGGCAATGGGATTTTTATTTATAATATCAATAGGACTTTGTCAACAGAGCGCTGTTCTCTTTAAAATTCACACTGAACTACTTTGTATGCAATGAATTTTATTTCCACCTGATAACTATTATCAAAAATGGATTTTAAGTCGGTTTAAAAATGGAATAAAAAGCATTAATAAGAAAATGATTGTATATTATAGTGTATTTTTCATGAGAACAAGGAAAATGTTTAAAACAAAATGAATTTTAATGGTGACTACCTTAAATACAGTAAACCCCCCGACTAAGAACCTGGTTAGGCTAAAATTTGCGATTTATTTTAAGCCCTCTCTATAAAAAACCTCTTGAGTCTAAAATTTTAAATAGGTTCTTATTTTCTAAAATCTATGAAAAAATTCTGCACACCTGGGCAAGATTAGATAAGATAAGCCAACATTAAAAATCCGCTTTGGCGACATACATGTAGGTGCCTTATCACTCAAACTGCGATGAAAATGCCAGTGTTTAAAATGAAATACAACTTATTCCTCATACAAAATCTGTCCTACTTCAGAACATATACACTTTCTCATAATTGTATCAACTAGTTATAGCTATCGCTAAGTGCCAACGAGCAAAGATTTTATACCTATACGCGCGCGCTGTCCAGTTTGTTTAGAAATGTCCTGAATTTCCGTCATTTACGAGAATGCAGGCTGCAGGTTAGTCATTCCATGCCATGTGTCCGTCATTTACCGTCATGGAACGCACTCACGCATACAACTATGCACGCGTTTGCTAAAAAACAATACATTCTCTGTTCTGCATTACATCATAAAAGTTACGTTTCACTACCTTATGTTACATCGCTTCGAGTTTCTTTTTGCCTCGCAAGTTTCGCGCACGCCTTTATTATGCTGCCGCCTCGCAGCCTCGCGTCCGTCTAAGTTCGCGAGGCTGCTCATTGGCAATAACAATTATTGTTATTGATACACTTGTGATAACTGTATGTATGTTCTGAAGTAGGACAGATTTTATATGAGGAATAAGTTAAACCAATGAATACTGTTAGATATATTGTATTTTTTCTTCAGAAAATAAAAAGCTATTTAAGAACCTAAACGGTTCTCACTACCATTTATATAAGAACCTGTTTAGGCTTACTTGGAAACATCCAGGTCCTTAGTTGCGGGGTTTACTGTAGCTAGTACCAAGGTCGTTAAATTTAAATAATTTGTTTCAACATATCAATCATGATGACATGCCATGCCACAAATTCTATCCACAACAACATGTAACAAATGTGGCCCACGTACATCAAGAAGATACAGTAAAATAATAATGGAAATTAATAGTCAATAAGTTTACGTTTGAAAGATGAGGTAATCCAAGTCAATAATTTTAAAGGAAAATAATAAGTTTTACATGTACGCAATGCATTAATTGAATAATGAAATGAGACAAGCTTCTGTGTTCACTTGAAATCCATAAACTTGACATCACTGAGCAGAAAGAACTTTCTTGGTAGTGGTCTTGGAGCAGGAGATAAAACAACCATCATCTGACGATCTAAATCTACATCATTGCTGAAACAGAATAGGAACACACATTAACACTAAAAAAAGACACCAACGGCAAGGCTACAAAAATTCTATAAAATAAATGTAAATTGAATGACATGTAGAATTTCACGTTTATAATAAACAATGCCCATGACAAAAAAAAAAATATTAATAATAATAATTATGAAGTCTCGCAACTTACACAACAACAAATCCTATCGTGTTTGTTGTGACCAGATTTTCTTCCAAAGATTCAGCTGCACTCAGAGCCAACACACAGTGCTTCAAGTCACGTCCTGCCAACACAAACAGAATCAATTGGTACTTAATTCGCAATGTGGCAATCAGTCAGTATCCAGTCTGCTTATCACCAGTAACCAATCAGCATCAAGTAAGGTACACATACACTGAAACTAACGACCAATCAGCAAATAGTAAGCCCACAGAGAACCTACCTTCCCATGTAGGCGTTCTGTTGGCTCGTCACTTAATCCTCACCAACGACCGTTCGTGGGGCAGAAATTCATGACGAACCCCCAAAAATGTCTGCGTGGGAGGCTAACCAGACCCCTATCAACACCCAGTCAGCTAACCAGTAACCAGTCAGTAAACATAATAATATGCGATCAGCCAACCATTTTTTCTTGTACCAATCGAAACCAACCCAGTCAGCTATATCTGTAACCAGTCAGCATCCTGTCAGTATCACATAACCAGCGACCAATCAGTATACAGTCAGCCAACCGTTTGTTAGTAGAAACCCATACAGTAAACCAGAAGCCATATAACACCCAGCATTTAGCTGCAAGCCATTAACCAAGCAACCAGGGTTTCCAGTAGCATTTGGAAGTAGTGGATGCAGAGGTTCAGCTGGTGAACTTACACCGGTTCGTGCACCAGGGACGAAAGTGGAGTGCCTGAGACGCAAACTTTGAGGAAGGCCCGAGATCATTTTTAAAATTGGACTCTCTAAAATGAAATTACCAGAGTTCCCTGGACGGGAATTAGTTAACTAAGAAGGTCTTTTGAGGCATTAAAAAAAGACTCACAAAAAATGAAATATTTGATTTGGCAATTTTAATTATTGCTTTGCGGTTGTTCCTTTTTCAGTTGATTCCAAAACGAATTCCAATCGGAAAGAGTATACGAATCCTCGATGACAGATGGCTTACAGATAGTAATTTAAATGACTGTGCAGTCCAGTTGTTGCATTGACTCATCAGTTTACTGAAGATCTATCAGTGAAAATCTTAGCGATGCAAGAAAAAAAAAAATTCTTGTATCAACTACCTGACGTTACATGTCAAACCACCAGATGTTGCGTCGGGCGTCCGGCCTGAAACAAAACCCTGATCAGCATGCAAGTCATGATTTGCTTACTGAGTTAATAGCCATTATGCAATAAACTCCAAATCAACCCATCAGTAGCAACTTTAAAAGGTTTTGAGCCAATTAGCTTATCAAAAACCAACCAGCATCCATCCAGCAAATTTGTAGCCATTATGTAAATGCCAGTACAAAAACAAATTCCTTCTTGCAAGAAATAAGTATTAATAAAAATATGTATATGTTGTGGTTCAATTTTATCCCTGGTTTAAATTTTGTTTTCCTTTGTTTCAAACTCATTATCATACATTACCATACCCAAACACAAAGAAAAATAAATTTAAACCAAGGATAAAGTTGAACCACAACATATGCAAAAGCTCTGCAGAAGAGCACTGAATGGTGGTAGCATTCAACATATTTAAAAATTAGCATGAAAAAATTCATAATCTTGCTATAACATTATTTGTATGTACATGTGCACTGTAGGAGTGAATAGTTTAAAGAACAAAGGATTGTACCAAGTAAAGTGAGCATGTTACCTGGTTGCACTGCAACAAGCTTGGTTTCATTTTGGTCTGGAGTCATTCCCAGTGGGAGACATGAATCTGGGACAGCTGGTGCTAATTTTCAAAAAGTCACACTTACATGTAAGTAAGTTTTAATGCAAGCAGCAAGAGGGCAATGGAAGTCGCCCAAAACCTTATTGTTATAAACTAAGCAGAAGAAATAGAAGCACCTTTAGGATGTGGATACTGTACCATACGGTAACATCAAAATCCCAGGTTGGGGGTGGGGAAAGGGGGGGGGGGGGGGGGGTCCTCCGGTTTTCAAGTAACGGGGATATTCGAATGTGGGAAAAAAACAAAACCCAAAAAAATCCCTCCTGTATGGCTTCCAAAAAAAAAAAAAAAAAAAACCCCTGAACAAAAAATAAACCCCAAAAAAACACCACCCCAAATTCAAAAACCTAAAAAATTTCCAAAAAAAATTCCATGTTCCCCCAACCGGCCCTCTCATCATACATTAAATTAAAAAAAATTTAAAAGAAAGGAGAAAAGGGGAAAAAGAAGTCCCCAAAAACTTTTTTTTTTAAAAAAAAAAAAAAAAAAAAAAGACACCTTTGGGGGGGGGATTCGTTCCCAAAGGGTAAAAAAAAAAACCCGGGGTGGGGGGGGGGGAGGGGGGGGGGGGGGGGTGTACTCCGGATTTCAAGTAACAGTGATAATCGAATGATGGCAAAAATCAAAACCCCAAAAAATCCCTACTGTATGGCTTCCAACAAAACAAAACAAAAAAATCCCTGGATCAAAAATTAACCCCCAAAAAATCCCACACCGAATTTCAGAACCTTAAAAATTTCCAGAAAGTATTAAATGGTACATTATATATGTATAACATGACTAGTTGTACTTTATTCGCAGAACAACACAGCCAGGACACAACGGTGAACTACCATGAATCTTCAGATTGTATACCCACAAAAAATTACTTGCAAATTTTCCCACCCAAAAAACATCTTGGAATCAAAAATTTTAATCCTTCCCCCACCCCCACCCCCACCCCCTCCCCCCCAAAAAACCTTCAACTATCCCCATCACTTGAAATCTGGAGTAACCCCTCATGGGAGCAGCATTAATACTACTCAGAAGTAGGCTAGAAGAGCCCGGCTGTACTCTACAGAAAATTGAAGGTACTAAAGTGCTCCCAACCTCTAAAAGGTCTTAGTCCTGCTCCAGAAGAGCCAGGCTGTACTCTACAGAAAATTGAAGGTACTAAAGTGCTCCCAACCTCTAAAAGGTCTTAGTCCTGCTCCAGAAATAATACTAAACCCATTAATTAATTCACCTTCATTTTCATTAGTAGCTTAGCTGTAATTTTCTAAGGGGTGAGGAGTGGGTTGAGGATGGGTGTGGACAAACTGAAACATCCATATTTGTGGGTGGAGTATGAATATTTTCTGGGACAACAATGTACAATCCAGCATTCCTAAAGGAAGTTACCAAGGGGTAATAGAGTGTTTAGGTGCTGCTGCAGCAGAGCACAGCCTTATTCCACTCTTTGGACAACCTCAAGTTGCCATAGCAATTTCTTGTCAAACTGGATGAAGTAACTACATCCCCTATGGATAGAATTGAAATCTTAATATTTTTTTAGCGACTAATCATGGAGATTTACACTACTGTTTTGTTGAATCGTGGTACCATTTTTTATGGGAGGTGAACGTACATGTATGCATTGAATCAAACTTACCCCCTATCTTAAAAATCTTGATTTCTGAAAACTTCACTTCAAAGATATGTGGATATAAATTGGACTTCTTTCCATAAAAATAATCTCTAACTCTGTTATCCCTACTGTTCCGCCTCATTTCTTGGCTTCTCACTACAACCTACAAATGAAAACAAGGCAACTGTACATGTCAAGGTTTGGGACTTCCCTGAAATCTACATACACTCTTCAATTTCTTTTTCAAAATAAATTTCATAATTAAATTAGAGCTGACCATCAATATTTTTTGTTCTGATGTGCTCTGAAATGTTGATAGGACATTCTTTGAGACTAAAGTCTGGCCTAGCCTAGCTTCCTTCCACATGCCTGTGTCTCCGAATTCCCTTTGCCCACAGCACAAAAGGTTGTATACCTTCCATTCAAAAACAGCTATAAACCATGAAACCAGCATTTGTACATGTATTGCCAAATCTATTTTGACCTCAAATTTGCATACCACAGATTTGTCAGCCACGATTACTGATTTCAAATCAAGCACTTCCCATCAAGGTTGACCTGAGCCAGTACAGTCATGTATTATTACTTTTGTTGCCATACATTACACGCAGTGTCTCTTTCGAGCAAAACCAAATCATCATCACTGTTTTTAGGTTTCTAGCATTGTTGGGAACTTAATCAAAAATAACGCGTATTAAAGCAGTTGCAGTTACATGTATGAAGTTAAGAAGTGGAGGAATTTCTACTTACCCCACCAGACTTGGGTAAATGTACCACCTGGACTTTGTTACCAAACTGTTTCTTGAGATCGTTATAGACTCTTTCTTGATCGAGGACAACAATGACATTCACTATTAATGGAAAAAAATTAATATATATCAAATTGATCTAAGAGTGAGGAAAAATACATTCATCAGTTAAATTCATTCCAGTTTCTCATGCAAGGAAATCAAATCACATTTGGTGGCTTACAAATGCATTAGTCTCCTTTTGTGATGAATCCCCATCACATACCCATGGCTGTCAATAACATTACGTGCTACATGTACAGTTGACTCACTTACAACTTGAACCGTCTGAGGAAATAAAAATAAGTTATTCTTGGGAGTTCAAGTTATAAGTAGCTTGAAGCAAATAACCAGAAATAAGGGAATGAATAAGTGAATGGATGGGGAAATGTAACTATCATGTACTCATAATGGTGCCCATTTTTAGTTTGCTTATCTGGTATTTTTTCGTTAGTACGGGTAATTTATGTGCCATTACAGTGTAGATGTAGGATTCTAGGGTCACTCTTGTTGCTTTTTTAAGGTTGCTGTCAAACAAATGTACTAATGTGCTATGGTACTATCTCTAAAACACTTCTGTAGAAAGGAATCAATAATACTAAAGACACATAAAAAAAATTATCTGAAATTAATTAACTAATGTAATAAAAATGTGTTGTCCCAAATGTATGTACAAATGTACTCGACTAATGAGTTAGCAGGAGGTCCAAGTTAGTCAGCTCTATTGAGAGTTTGCGTTACTGAGGGTACAATTACATGAAGGAAATCCAGAGGAAATTGACTTTAGTTCGAGCAAGCGAGAGGTTCGAGTTAGCGAGGGTTTAAGTTGTTGGGAGTCAACTGTACATGTATATTGTATAAACTGTATACATGTAGATTTATGTGAAGAAGGTACAGATAGCCCACCTTCAAATGCCTCTGCTGCATGAACAAGGATTCTGTAACCAGTCCCAGTCACCCAGCCACAGGTATTAATAACACAGCCACTTGCTCTTGCTTGAGATAATAATGATGAAAATGAATTAGAATCCTTACACGGTGGCGCAAAGATATGAATTTTATTTTCGAGTGGCAAAGCAATATTTTACAAACGAGTGCAGCGAGTGAGTAAAATACTGTTTTTGCCATGAAAAATAAAATTCATATCTTAAAGCCGCCGTGTAATGTTCTTTTTATTATAATTATAGACAAAAAGACATTGATAAAATAATAGAGGCAAATTACCAAAATTACGTTATCGATAAACTCATGTGTGAGATTATGGAAAATAAACCACTCGGGTCCCGGATGTAGTTTTTATGAATTTCACGAGTGGTATATTTTCCCGGAAAACATACATGTCTATATAATAAAACCTTATAATGATAAAATCTGTATATAAATCAAACTGCATACATGTACACTCATGTCAAGCAATGAATAAATTTGTGACTAAGTGGTTAGGCTGACAGTTTAGCACAGTGTAGGGTGTATTAATAGGCAGAGAGGTATAATCTATATTTATTGAATTCATAGCATGATTAGACATACATTACCGCAGTAAGCTGACAATCAGTTGCAACTTGATCTTTAAAGACTTAACTGTTGATTCCAGAAACTTTTGAGAATCGAGTCTCAAGTCTTATGTCTCAAGAACCAATCTCCAGTTTTGAGACCAACGTTTTGAGTTAAGAAATAATTTATAATGAGCTTGTCACTTGACTGATCTTTCAAGGAACAAATTCATCACACAGACCACACTCAGTCTTAAATGATTACGATGCACACATTGTGATGAATGGCTTTTGCAATATAATAATTGTTACATATGTGGTCTTGCTTACTTCTGTTATGAAACTAAATTTGCATTTTTGTGGAAGTATCTGCACACAAGCGGCCAATCAAATGGTCAAGAATTAATTTACTTCGACTCATTCACAGTATTTTGATGCACTAGAATAATAAATCACTGCAGCTCTAGGACTTACCTTTTTTATTCTTTTCAAATCTCTGTTTAGTGACTTCAGCTATTTTGCTTGATATTTTATTATACAGCTTTTCATTAGCTGGAGATGTGTGTCCATAATGATAAACCAGTGGGGCTTGCANCTGCACACAAGCGGCCAATCAAATGGTCAAGAATTAATTTACTTCGACTCATTCACAGTATTTTGATGCACTAGAATAATAAATCACTGCAGCTCTAGGACTTACCTTTTTTATTCTTTTCAAATCTCTGTTTAGTGACTTCAGCTATTTTGCTTGATATTTTATTATACAGCTTTTCATTAGCTGGAGATGTGTGTCCATAATGATAAACCAGTGGGGCTTGCAATGGGAATCCTTTCAAATAAAACAAAAGGTGGCAAAAATAAAAAAGTGAGTGTAAAAATAAACCTAAGTCTTATAAAATACCACAAAAAAATAAATAAAGGCCATTAAACTAAATTCACTTTGGGCTTCTACACACCGCTTCATTTAAAACCAGTGCAGTTGTACAAGTTTATTCTTAAAATCACCTCACCTTCTTCAATGTCAGCAGGTCTCTCAATCAGAAGAGCTCCTGAAGAAGGAGAAGAATAAATCCTTTATTACAGTGGAACCTTGATATAACAAACCTCTAAATAATGACGTCCGCAGTATAACGAATGATCTTCTTTACTTTAGTAAAATATATGGAAAAGCACCTCAATATAACGAAACCTCGTTATAGTGAACAAATTTTGCCTGTCCCTTGGCACTTCATTATATCGAGGTTCCACTGTATTTAGACCTACACACAACAGGACAAGCTCATATAAATTACTTTACAAAACACATTGTTCAGTTGTACATTTCAAAAACAACAACAACAATAAAAAACAGTTACAAAAGGTTTATGTCATACCCATAGAGCCAGGAATTCCTATGTAGCCCTGCCAAAAAGAAAAAGAAAAAAATACATGTTAATATTGTTTCCAGTAAATTTAAAATAATTGTTATGTCCATAATTATTATTATTATGGTGTACAGTGTACCTTTCAACAACTGTGTAGCTTACTGTACAAGGGGTGCATCAATTGGACATGATGGGTGTACTTCTAATACATACACTGTATGCAAAATTATATCAACGTGCATAAAGAAGTTCTTTATGCAGTTATTCAGTGTGTTTAACTGGCCTCCAATTCTCTGTGGGGTGTGGATGAATTAGCTGCGTGCAACAAGTCATTATAAACAAATAACTTGTATTACAGGTAAAACTTGATCTCAGGTTACAATTAGTGTAATTTTGATTTAACCTGAGAAATCACAGTGCTCGTATGAGAATCTAGCCGCGACTATTCATGAAGAATAATTTAAGACTAGGACACAAAGGAAATAGATAATCAACCGGGGTGGCTTAGGGGAGGGGTAGGTGGGCAGTTTGCCACAAACCCAAATTGATCCTAAATTTCTTTAACCTAGGTTGATTCTCCATTTCTGTTGTCTCCTACCCCTATTTCATGAATAATTGGGAGTTTGCAAAAAAATAATTAAAAGTCTTGAAAGAGTTCCAGGAGATTGCAGAGGAGTATTTAATATTATTGAACACGGGTTATTATACACTTTATGAGAAATCATGCATTCTGGAAATAGAAAACTAAAAAAGTAATAACTACAAGACAATTTGAACCTCGTTAAGATTTGAATGATTTAGTGACTTAAGGCAACTAAAGGCGACTTTAGGCGACTTAAGGCGATTTTAGGCGACTTAAGGCGATTTTAGGTGACTTAAGGCGACTTAAGGCGACTTAAGGCGACTTTAGGTCCCAGAGTAGGCCTTCTTTTGAATTACCTTTTGGTATTAAACCTTTTTTTATTTGACTTTAAATAAATAAATAAATAACGATTTGCAGGTAGCACATCCACATAGTGGTTCTTCCTCTCCCTGATTCCTGGTCGAATTGGAATTTGAAATGTTGGTTTTTGAGGAGAGGGGAAAACCGGAGTGCTCGGAGAAAAACCTCTCGGAGCAAGGGGGAGAACCAACAACAAACTCAACCCACATATGGCGTCGATGCCAGGATTTAAACCCGGGCCACATTGGTGGGAGGCGAGCGCTCTCAGTACTGCGCCACTCTTGCTCCCCTGACTTATTCGCGTCATAGATCGACCGATCCATCTCCTTCTGGCGTAAAGCAATGAAATGCAGGTGTTTGGCATCTGACTGCCAGAATTGAAATATTTATGTAATGAAGAGATCCCCTCTCGATATATTCCATAAACTCATGGCTACCGTTTGAGGAGGTGAAGAAAGTGTCCTTATTGGCCACGCAAGTCAGAAACGAAGTGTCCGGCTTCATTTCCTGATCACTTCGAAATCCAAGCTTTAAAATGGGAAGTTAAGGAACCCAAGAGGCAAGTGACAAGTCCAAGCATAGAAGTCGAGAGAAGATAATATCTGGAATTACACTACCAGAGTCTCAAGAAGCTGAGAAGTACCATCATCAGCTGTTTGCAGAACGAAAGTTCGGTGAGGAGCTTTAAATTCCCTATACGACTTAAATGTACCATAACGGGGAGCAAGGGTGGCGCAGTGGTGAGAGCACTCGCCTCCCACCAATGTGGCACGGGTTCAAATCCCAGCGTCGACGCCATATGTGGGTTGACTTTGTTGTTGGTTCTCTCCCTTGCTCCGAGAGGTTTTTCTCCAGGTACTCCGGTTTTCTTCTCTCCTCAGAAACCAATACTTCAAAATTCCAATTCGATCTGGGACACACGAACACGTTTAAACGAGTTCATAAGAACTCCTAAGTACTTCGTAGGTAAACAAATTACAATTTACAATTTTTACAACCACCGGAGACAAACAGAAGAACATTAAAAGGTACGAAAAGAAATCAAGCATTAAGAAAGACCAGTCCACTATACAAACTGGATCCACCTGTGGACCATGATTTTGTTATTCGTGTCGGTGATCGTATTAGTAGAGAAGATACGCCGGGTGATCTGAAGCATCCAGTCACAATTCCGCAAAAGGGACACTTGACTGAACTGTTAATTCAACATCACCATCTGAAAGTGGGCCACATGGTCAAGGCATAAAGCATAATGAGCTTCAGCAAAGTGGCTATTGGTTGATCAACGGTTCATCAGAAGTAGTGAAGGTCCTATCGAGATGTGCGACATGGAGACTACGTACTGCATAAGCCCATAGAGCAGCAAAAGATGGCCTGCCTTCCCGAAGACCAACTTGAACCAGTTCCTCCTTTTTCGTTTTGTAACATTATTTCAGATCGTTCATTGTCAAAGAAAAAAGAAGGGAAGTAAGAAGCTATGGAGTCTTGTTCACGTGTAGGGAGTCAAGAAGTTTTCATCTGAAGACTGCCAATAGGACAATTGAACGATGGCGTCATTTTACTACAACTACCAGAATCCCTGAGTTTGTTGTTGTTGTTTTTTTTTTGCAAGTTAGGCTATTGTCCTTTAATCCTCAGTGGGATTGACAAAGCGAAACCGAAATGAATTCTGGTAGTTATAGTCAAATATCGTCATCGTGCAGTTGTCCTATTCACTGGATAGACTGTACGATGTAACTATAAGATTCCAACAATGGGATTTTTTTAATATAACATCAATAGGACTTTGTCAACAGATAATTAATTTCTTTTGGGCGGTGTTCTCTTTAAAAGTCACACTGAAGTACTTTGTATGCAATGAATTTTATTTCCAGCTGATAACTATTACTAAAAATGGATTTCAAGTGTTTAAAAATGGTATAAAAAGCCTTAATAAGAAAATGTATTTTATAGTGTAATTTTCATGAGAACAAGACAAATGTATAAACAAACAAATTTTTAATCCTGACTACCTTAAAGACAGTAAAACTCAGCGACTGGGAACCTGGTTAGGCTAAAATTTGCCAAAGGTTCTTATTTTCTAAAATCTATGAAAAAATTCTGTATACTTGGGCAAATACGATAAGTGAACATTGATAATCCTCTTTGGAGACATAGGTGCCTTATCACTCAAACTGCAATGTAAATGTAAATGTTTAAAATCAATTACAGCGTATTCTTCATACAAAATCTGTCCTACTTCAAAGCATAACATACACTTTTTACAATTGCATCAACTAGTTATAGCTATCGCTTAGTGCCAACGAGCAAAGATTTTACCTATATACGCGCACGCTGTTCAATTTGTTTAGAACTGTCCTGAATTACCCTTATTTACGAGAATGCACGCTGCAAATTAGTCATGTCATCTCATGTCATGCGTCCCTCATCTACCGTTAAGGAACGCACTCAGGCATTATACAGATGCATTATACTATGCACGTGTTTGCTCGGAAACAATTAATGCATTCTCTGTTCTGCATTACGTCATAAAAGTTACCTTACAATACCTTGTGTTGCATCGCTTCAAGATTTATTCTGCCTTGGAACTTTCGCACACGGATTTATTACGCTGCCGCCTCGCAGCCTCGCTTCTCCGTGAGGTTGCTCGTTGGCAATTACAACTATTGTTATTGATACAATAGCAATAACTGTATGTTATGTTCTGAAGTAGGACAGATTTTATGTGAGGAATAAGTTAAACCACTAAATACTCTTAGATATATTGTATTTTTTATTCAGAAAATAAGAACCTATTTAAGAACCTAAATAGCCTAAACAAGTGCTCACTACCATTTATACAAGAACCAGTTTAGGCTAAATTGGAAAAAATCCAAGTTCTTAGTTGCGGGGTTTTACTATAGCTAGTACCAAAGTTGTTAAACTTATTAAATATTAATTTTATCTGCAACGACATGTTGTAACAAATATGGCCCAGGTATATCAAGAAAATACAGTAAAATAATAATAGAAATTAATAGTCAGTACGTTTAAGTTTGAAAGTTGAGGTAATCCAAGTCAATAATTGTCAAGCAAAATAATGAGCTTTACATGCGCGCAATGCATTAATTGTATAACGAAATGAGACAAGCTTCTGTGTTCACTTGAAATCCATAAACTTGACATCACTGAGGAGAAAGAACTTTCTTGGTAGTGGTCTTGGAGCAGGAGATAAAACAACCATCATCTGACGATCTAAATCGACATCATTGCTAAAACAGAATAGGAACACACGTTAACTCTAAAAAAAGACACCAATGGCAAGGCTACAAAAAATTCTATAAAATAAATGTAAACTGAATGATGTGTAGAACTTCACGTTCATAATAAACAATGCCCATGACAAAAAAAAATTAAGTCTCGCAACTTACACAACAACAAATCCTATCGTGTTTGTTGTGACCAGATTTTCTTCCAAAGATTCAGCTGCACTCAGAGCCAACACACAGTGCTTCAAGTCACGTCCTGCCAAAACAAACAGAATCGATTGGTACTTAACTAGCAATGTGGCAATTAGTCAGTATCCAGTCTACTTATCACCAGTAACCAATCAGCATCAAGTGAGGTACACATACACTGAAACTAATGACCAATCAGCAGACTTTCCAGATTCTGCTCCGAAAAAGCTAAAAAGTTGCTAAGAAATATGCCAAAAAGTTGCTCAAAAATTTTGTAAAGTTGCTCGAATATTTTTAAGACAGCATGTCTAATTTCAATAACAATTGCTTTGTAATCAACATTAAGGTACAACTAAGTAACTGGTTACAACAAATTAGACAACCTTTTAGTCGAATCTAAGTGGTTAGTTACAAAAGGTTAGACAGTGTTGACCGTTTTTTTTTTTGGGGGGGGTGGGAGG